CTAGAAGGACATCTTCCATATCACCGACATTAAAAATTTCTATTTATTATGACAATTTTCTTACAGATGGAAGCCAAGTATCTTGAAGAAGGAATGCCTATTGCTGATTTGCACAAAGGCAGTATATGGGTTACTATGCTCATACACACCTGGTCTATAACACATTTCACAGGGGTTCACTTAACCCTATTTAATCTCAGCAACCTAGGTGCTGGTAGAGTACTCAGCACAAAGGCGGCACACTAACTGCTTACTTTACACTTCAAAAGGTAAATGGATATATGAATAAACTGAGAATTTTACATTCATTTCAAATGAAGAACTCTGTTATGCACTATTCTCATATTAAGTTCAGTCATTTCTCAGATACTATTCCTAGATTCCACACATCTTATTTTTACTTATCCTTTCTATCCACTTTCTCAAGTCTTACTCTTCCATCATCCCTAACCCCGTCTCTTCAATCTTCTTTCCTACACACTTCATGCTCCAGAAATCTCCAATTTTTCCTTCATGTCTACAATCTCTTCTTTTGATTAATGTTAATTGAGTGAATATTTTCCAGAATGTATTTACAGATACAAAAATAATTTTTTTAAAGTAGGCTTCACACCCAGTGTGGAGTCCAACGCAGGGCTTGAACCCACAGCCCTAAGATCAAGAGTTGGACACTTAACTGATGGAGCCACCCAGGTGGCCCTTACAGATAAGAATATAATTTTTTAGAACGATCTTTTCTTAATGATTCTTGAAAGTATTAAGCGCTTGGTTATATATTATACATATATATAAACCGTAACTATATATATATATACATATATATACATATATGTTTCTCAGGAAATACTTCAACTAAAAAGAAAATGCTTTAAGTGTTATATTCTTAATTTAAGGAAGAACATGTTCTATCTCTGACATAAATTTGTGACTGCAATTTATTCTCATCTATATGCAGCAACAAAAAGCCCTGAAATGAGTCAGAAAAAATTATATGTGTGTGTTTCTGTTTTACTTGTTTATATTCTGTTTTTCTCCATTACAATTAAGAGCCATAAAGGTAGGGACCATTTGTAAGTTGTGTATTGCTATGTCCCTAGCACCTAGGAAAATGCCTGGCATATAGTAAATTGTTATCCATGACAAAAACTATACTACATACTTTATGTTGAGTATGTTATCTAATTTAATCTACAAAAACATCAATCCAGCAGATATTATTCTCACTTTACAAAAGAATAAGGATCATAGTATGTGCCTAGGTGGCTCATATGGTTAATGGTCCAACTCTTGATTTCAACTCAGATCATGAGTTCACAGTTTGGAGGACTGAGCCCCATGTCAGGTTCTGCGGTGACAGCGTGGAAACTGCTTGGGAATCTTTCTCTTCTCTCTCTCTGCCCTTCTCCCCACTCATGCACACACGTTCTCTTTCTCAAAATAAATAAACATTAAAAATATATATATGGGACGCCTGAGTGGTTTAGTCAGTTAAGTGTCCGGCTCTTGGTTTCCGATCAGGTCATGATCTCATGGTTCATGGGTTCAGCCCCACATCAGCTCCATGCTGACAGTGCGGAGCCTGCTTGAGATTCTTTCCTTTGCTCTCTCTCTGGCCCTCCCCTGCTCACTCTCTGTCTCTCTCTCAAAAAACAAAAACAAAAGCAAAAACAACCCAAAAATTTTTTTGAAAAAGGATCTCAAGATTAAATAATCCAGGACAACAACAGTTGGTATGAAAATGGTAAAATTAGGCCTACCAGAGTATAAGCTCTGAATATAACCACCATGTACCCCTCTTCTTACTTACTCAGTTCTATGAAGCTGAAGAAGTCATATACCTCTCTGAGCCTTAGTTCTTCCATGTGTAAAATGGGTATAATAATGCCTTCCCAATCTACCTCACAGTGTTATCATAAGGCTCAGAGAATAACACATATATGAAAACATAACAAATTAAAATATTAGTAGAATAAGAACAATTAACAATTCAGGGGAAATGTTACATATTAATGAGGTCTTGTTCACTAGAAATTAAAAACAAGCTGTCTCCAAGTTACTAAATATACTATTATTTATATTATTCAAACTTAGTTTCACGTTTCCACTTCCAACAAGGAGAAAGTAGTTATATTCCTTCAGTTACTTCTTCTCTTCCAACAAAGTAAAGAAGTCAGTTTACTAAAAGATTTCAACCTACTAATCCAACCACAAACTCTAATGTATCATACTAATGTGGCCATGAATAATGGGTTTTTATGATACATAAGCACCCTTTCAACTATTTATTATTTATTTTCCATATTATGATAGCAGTAAGATAAGTAGGAGGCCAGATGCAATAGCTCAAATTAAAAAATAATAAAACAAGGGACGCCTGGGTGGCTTAGTCGGTTAAGCGTCCGACTTTCGCTTAGGCCATGATCTCGCTGTTCGTGGGTTCGAGCCCCGCGTCGGGCTCTGTGCTGACTGCCAGCTCAGAGCCTGGAGCCTGTTTCAGTCTGTGACTCTCTCTCTCTCTGACCCTCCCCTGCTCATGCTGTCTCTCTCTCTCTCTCTCCTAGAAATAAATAAAACATTTAAAAAAAATAAAATAAAATAAAAAAAAATAAAAAATAATAAAACAAGTTCAGTTCAAATTGTTGAATGTCTGAGAATTTTTGTTTCATAAGTTAAAATATTCAATGTCTTTGAGTAAGAATTAGAAGAGTCCAATAAATCCCTAGCCCTCATCTTCCAAATCTGCAGTATGAGAGCAACCTGACTATGACCATCTATCATTCTAGTGGCACCAGGATTAACTTAATTGCTGTAATTGATTAGGTGAGTGCTCTCTTACCTCATTCACCATTCCCTGTTCACCGCCCCCTACATACCCTCACCAAAAAACTGCTGACTCAATTTTAGAGGCATAAATAGGTTTATGCCTTAATAAAAAATCTTTTACTCTTCACTTTTAATTATTATCACTGGTCTGCAATGGAACAAGTAGGTTATTTGTGAGCTGCAGAAAGTTTTATGGGGCTTTTAAGTGTATGTATATTTTATTTTATTTTATTTTATTTATTTTTTTTTTTTTATGTTTTATTTATTTCTAGGAGAGAGAGAGAGACAGCGTGAACAGGGGAGGGTCAGAGAGAGGGAGTCACAGACTGAAACAGGCTCCAGGCTCTGAGCTGGCAGTCAGCACAGAGCCCGACGCGGGGCTCGAACCCACGAACCGCGAGATCATGACCTAAGCGAAAGTCGGACGCTTAACCGACTAAGCCACCCAGGCGCCCCAGTGTATGTATATTTTAAAATATACTTGAACAGGTGCCTGAGTGGCTCAGTTGGTTGAGCATCCAACTTTTTTTTTTAATGTTTTATTTATTTTTTAAAGAGAGATAGAGACCGCATGAGCAGGGGAGGGTCAGAGAGACAGAGGGAGACACAGAATCTGAAGCAGGCTCCAGGCTCTGAGCTAGCTGTCAGCAAAGAGCCTGACGTGGGGCTTGAACCCACAAACCGTGAGATCACGACTTGAGCTGAAGTCGGATGCTTAACCAACTGAGCCATGCAGGTGCCCTGAGCAGTCAACTCTTGATACTGGCTCAGACATAAATAAATAAAACTTAAAAAATAAAATATAATTTAACACCTATGAAAATATAAAATGAAATGTGAAATTTTAATTTGTACACATATGAGGATTTTACTGCAGACACTGTTGATTTAAAATGAGAAGTACTGCAAGTATTAAAAGAGTTAGTGGAACCTGGGTGGCTCAGTTGGTTAAGTAAAACATCTGACTCTGGATTTTGATTCAGGTCATGATCGGCTCAGGTTTGTAAATTTGAGCCCCATGTCTGGCTCTGTGCTGACAACATGGAGCCTGCCTAGGATTTTCTCTCTCTCTCTCTCTCTTTCTTCTTCTCTCTCTACCCCTTCCCTGCCCCTGTCTCTAAAAATAATAAACTTAAAAAAAAGAAATAAAATAAAAGAGCTAAAGAATATATCTGAATTTCATCTGCATCATAAATGTAGAGCCCTATTCCAGAGTTTTGGGAGATTCATCATCTAAGAGGGAAGATGAAGCAGGATACCCTTCAGTAACCTGAAAAGTGCTGTCTTCACGGTTCCTCTCTATTCTCTTCTCTGGGATGCTTTCAAAAAAGTTATAAAAAATAAGTGATACTATAACCAATATTGCATATAACATCTTAGTAAACACCACATACAAATAACGCTAAACAGAATTCTCTTTTAAGATTAAGCTCACAAATCTTAGTTTTTTAACCTCTGTGCATTTAGCATTATAGAAAGTATGTCAAGTACACACAAAAAATTCAAGCTATAGAACTTGTTTCATTTCATATAAATAGCACTGAGTAGGTCAAGAAAACAAAGTTAAACAATCAGCTGTGATACTTCAGATTCAGAATCTTCATGTAAATTAGTAGATCACAGTTGTTATTTATTCCATAAAAGAAAATGCAGAAGTCAACTCAGGATATAATGCACAGTTAAGTTGGTGTATAATATGTAATATTAGGTGCATATAATATCTAAAAGTGGATTTTTGAGAGTTATGATTTAATCACAAAAGGCCATGTTGAACCTATGAATAAATCACAAAATCAGGAGTATTTTAGCTCCTTATTCATTTCACTCATAGCTAAAGCTCTACAAACTATTATTATAAAATGCTGAAATCTCATTTGCTTTTTTTAGTTTATATTTATTTTTTTCCCAAAAAGCTTTTTTAAAAAAAGTTTTCATTTAAATTCCAGTTAGTTAACATACATTGTTAATGTTAGTTTCAGGTGCATAATACAGTTATTCAACACTTATATACAACATCTGTTGTCATCACAGCAAGTGCGCTCCTTATTCCCCATCACCTGTTTCACCCATCCCCCTCTCCACCTCCCCTCTGGTAATCATCAATTTGTGCTCTATAGTTAAGAGTCTAAAGTGAAATAACTCTTAAAAAACAAATACTCTGTAAATTGCCTCTTTACCTTCATGACATCTCTATATGACCGGATAGCTGAGACTTTTCTCTTTTCATCTTCTTCATCTTCCAGGCCTTCATCGGCAGCCTCATAGCCTTCATCGTTGCTGCCATCAGCTTCGACCGTGTTGGCCATGTGATCAATGAGCTGCTCTAGGGGGGGGCTTAACTCCCTTTCTTCATTCTCCTTCAAACCATAGTCCAGTGCTTTATAAATAACAATTCCCAAAGATTCGATAACCTAGGGACATTAAAGAAGGTGATTAATGAAGATGAGTAAACACCTTTATAGAACTAATTCTAAGGCATAAAATATTTAGTATGACACTTAAGCTAGGTATAATCTATTCCACTGCAGAAAGAGGTAACAAATTAGATTTGAGGAGATAGGTAAGCCTTACTTATGCAAAAAAAAAAAAAAATCCCAGATGGAAATTTTTGTGTGATTTCTTCAATCCAGTATACACAATACATGAACTCTTTTTTGTTTTCTTAGATTTATACTATAAACTAAAATCTATATTGTCCATTCATATAAGAAACTAACCAGGTTGATTTCCCATATTTCCAAAAGATATTTCTAGAGAACAGACAGAGCTATCAAAGCACATATTCTTTCAGAACTCTTATACTGGTGTTTACCAATGTTTATTTCACAGATATCCCAGGTATCTGAGAGAATCCATACTCAATTATTAGTAGCAGTTAACTTAAGCTTAAACAAAAAATATGTATTCATAACCATATAAATGATGCCCAGTGAGTTACATTTAATTATTGAAAACACAAAGCTCTCATATGATACAAACAGGTGAAAGAGACTTTTTCAAACTCTGATTTCAATGTAGTGCATAGATAATCCTCCCCACCCCCTCACCTCCACCAGTATTACCTCCCAAAACATGAATATGATTTAGGAACACTGGGTATGTAACACTGTCTAATGTCACCCTGATAAATGCTCCAGACTTCTGTCAATATAGGGAATTCTCAAAGCTGTTTATTCCTCAATACAGCCTTTTTTTCTGCTCAGAAAGAACAAATAAACAATCCTCCTCTGCTCAAATCCTCTGGGACGCAGCAAAGGCAGTCATAGGAGGAAAGTATACAGCAATACAGGCCTTCTTAAAGGAGGAAAGGTCACAGATACACAAACTAACCTTACACCTTAAAGAGCTGGAAAAAGGACAGCAAATAAAACCCAAAACCAGCACAAGACAAGAAATAATAAAGATTAGAGCAGAAATCAATACTACTGAAACCAAAAAACCCAGTAGAACAGATCAATGAAATCAGAAGCTGGTTCTTTGAAAGAATTAACAAAATTGATAAACCCCTAGCTAGTCTGATCAAAAAGAAAAAGGAAAGAACCTAAATAAATAAAATCAAGAAAGAAAGAGGAGAGATCATAACCCACACAGCAGAAATACAAATAATAAGAGAATATTACAAGCAATTATATGCCAATAAAATGGGTAATCTGGAAGAAATGGACAATTCCTAGAAACATATAAACTACCAAAACTGAAACAGGAGGAAAGAGAAAATTTGAACAGACCCATAGCCAGTAAAGAAATCAAATTAGTAATCAAAAATCTCCCAAAAAACACGAGTCCTGGGCTAAATGGCTTTCCAGGGGAATACTACGGAACATTTAAAGAACAGTTAACACTTATTCTCCTGAAGCTATTCCAAAAAATAGAAATGGAAAAAAAACTTCCAAACTCTTTCTATGAAGCCAGCATTACCTTGATTCCAAAACCGAAGACCCCACTAAAAAAGAGAACTACAGACCAATCTCCCTGATGAACATGGACACAAAAATCCTCAACAAGACATTAGCCAATTGGATCCAAAAATACATTAAAAAAGTTATTTGCCACAACCAAGTGGGATTTATACCTGGGATACAGAGCTGGTTCAACATCCACAAAATAATCAATGTGATACATCACATCAATAAAAGGAAGGACAAGAACCACATTATCCTCTTGATAGATGCAGAGAAAGCATCTGACAAAATACAGCATCCTTTGGAAATAACCCAGAAAATTAATAGGCAACCAACGGAATGGGAAAAGATAGTTGCAAATGACATATCAGATAAAGGGTTAATATCCAGAATCTATAAGGAACTCACCAAACTACACGCCCGAAAAACAAACAACCCAGTGAAGAAATGGGCAGAAGACATGAACAGACACTTCTCCAAAGAGGACATCCAGATGGCCAACAGACACATGAAACGATGCATCCCTCCTCATCAGGGAAATACAAATCAAAACCACACTGAGATACCACCTCACGCCAGTCAGAGTGGCTAAAATGAGCAAATCAGAGAACTCGAGATGCTGGCGAGGATGTGGAGAAACGGGCACCCTCCTACACTGTTGGTGGGAATGTAAACTGGTACAGCCCCTCTGGAAAACAGTGTGGAGGTTCCTCAGGAAACTAACAATAGAACTCCCTTATGACCCAGCAATAGCACTGCTAGGAATTTACCCAAGGGATACAGAAATGCTGAGGCATAGGAGCACATGTACCCCAATGTTCACAGCAGCACTCTCCACAATAGCTAAAACATGGAAAGAGCCTAAGTGTCCATCAACAGATGAATGGATCAAGAAGATGTGGTTTATCTATACCATGGAATACTACATGGCAATGAGAAACAATGAAATCTGGCCATGTGTAGCAACATGGATGGACCTTGAGGGTGTTATGCTGAGCGAAATAAGTCAGCAGAGAAGGACAAATATCGTATGTTTGCACGTATAGGAGGATTAGGAGGAACTTGACGGAGGAACAAGGGGGAGAAGAAGGGCGGAAATGGTGGGGGAAAGGGAGAGAGGCAAACCATGAGAGACTCTTGAATGCTGACAAAAACTGAGGACTGATGGATGTGGGGGGGAGGGGGCGATGGGCATGGAGGAGGGCACTTTGGGGATGAGCACTGAGTGTTATGTAGAAACTAATTTGACAATAAACTATTTGTAAAAAAAAAAAAAAAAAAGGTAAAAAAAAAAAAGAAAATCTACAGTGCAATGATCATGTTTTTATGTGGCATTTTAATTTCAAGAAAGTCAGCCAACATTTGTTTGCTCTATTATACAAAATCACTGTGCTAAGTATTCTGGAATAAAAATGTAAGAAAAACAAACAAACAAAAAAATACAGCATCCTTTGTTGATAAAAACACTCATGAAAGTAGGGACAGAATGATCATACCTCAACACCATAAAACCCATATATGAAAGCCACCACTACTACCATCGGCATTGGGGAAAAACTGAAAGCTTTCCATCTAAGGTCAGGAACAAGACAGGAATGTCCACTCTCACCACTGTTGTTCAACATGATATTGGAAGTCTCAGCCTCCGTAATGAGACAACACAAAGAAATAAAAAGCATCCAAATCGGCCAGGAGGAAGTCAAACTTTCACTTTTCGCACATGACATGATACTCTATATGGAAAACCCAAAAGATTCCAACAAAAAACTGCTAGAACTAATCCATGAATCACCAAAGTCGCAGGATATAAAACCAATTGGACAGACATCAGTTGTGTTCCTGCACACCAATAATGAAGCAAGAGAAAGAGAAATCAAGGAAGTGATACCATTTACAATTGCACCAAAAAACTATAAAATACTCAGGAATACACCTAACTAAAGAGGTGAAAAATCTATACACTGAAAACTCTAGCAAGTTTATGAAAGAAAGTGAAGAAGACACAAAGAAATGGAAAAATTTCCATGTTCCTGGATAGGAAGAACAAATATTGTTAAAAGGCCAATACTACACAAAGCAATGAACATAGTCAATGCAATCCCTATCAAAATAACACCAGTATCCTTTACAGAGCTAGAACAAACAATTCTAAAATTTGTATGGAACCAGAAAAGACCCCAAATAGCCAAAGCAATCTTGAAGAAGAAACCAAAGCTGGAGGCATCACAATCCCAGACTTCAAGCTGTATTACAAAGCTGTAATCAAGACAGTTTGGTACTGGCACAAAAACAGACACTCAAATCAACGGAACAGAAGAGAGGACCCAGAAATGGACACACAAACGTATGGCCAACTAATCTTTGACAAAGCAGGAAAGAATATCCAAAGGAATAAAGGCAGTCTCTTCAGCAAATGGTGTTGGGAAAACTGGGCAGTGACATGCAGAAAAATGAACCTGGACCACTTTCTTACACCATACACAATATAAACTCAAAATGGATGAGAGACCTAAACCTAAACGTAAGACAGCCATCAAAATGCTCGAGGAGAAAGCAGGCAAAAACCTCTTTGACTTCAGCCACAGTAACTTCTTACTCAACATGTCTCCAGAGGCAAGGAAAACCAAAGCAAAAATGAACTGTTGGGACCTCATCAAGATAAAAAGCTTCTGCACAGCAAAGGAAACAATCAGTAAAACTAAAAGGCAACTGATGGAATGGGAGAAGGTATCTGCAAATCACGTATCAGATAAAGGGTTAGTATCCAAAACCTATAGAGAACTTATCAAACTCAACACCTCCAAAACAAATAATCCAGTGAAGAAATGGGCTAAAGACATGAACAGACACTTTTCCAAAGAAGACATCCAGATGGCCAGCAGACACATGAAACAATGCTCAATATCACTCATCATCAGGGAAATACAAATCAAAACCACAATGAGATACCACCTCACATCCATCAGAATGGCTAAAATCATCAAGTCAGGCAACAACAGATGCTAGTGACGATGCAGAGAAACAGATCTCTTTTGCACTGCTGGTGGGAATGCAAACTGGTGCAGTTACTCTGGAAAAAAGTATGGCGGTTCCTCAAAAAATTAAAAATAGAACTACCCTATGACCCAGCAATTGCACTACTAGGTATTCATCCAAGGGATACAGGTGTGCTGTTTCGAACAGATAGTGCTGCTGTCAACATTGGGGTGTTGACAGCAGCACTATCAACAATCCAAAGTATAGAAAAAGCCTAAATGTCCATTGATGGATGAGTGGATAAAGAAGATGTGGTATATATATACAATGGAAATATATTTCCACAAAGTGGTATATATATATACAATAAAAAAGAATGAAATCTTGACATTTACAACTATGTGGATGGAACTAGAGGGTATTCTGCTAAGCGAAATTAGTCAGAGAAAGACAAATATCATATGATTTCACTCATATGGGGACTTTAAGATACAAAACAGATGAGCATAAGGGAAGGGAAGCAAAAACAATAT